AAACTTGATTTCTACGTATTTTTTCTATATTCTAGCTAGACAGCTTATGATAATAAGCTCATATTTCTGTCTATACATTCTTATATTTATAAATTGTGTTTTCGGTGTTTTTTAAACAACCTTGATCGACACATGTAACATTACAACACAATCCCATATACAGGTAAACATAACCACTTTGTACATGTACCTGGGTCGTAGTTTTCCCCCGCCCGGGGCACTTACGTAGCTCGTCGGGTAAGGCCGGGTGTGTGAAAACCCTGGTGAATGGAGGCTATATTCAAGCGAATGCAAATAACAAATACTATTCATTACAGTCATACGGCATATCAGCTCTGTGTGTCAGGCACTGGTCAGGTAAAACTCCGGTCACTCATCAAATTGTTATTTACCTGTTCTGTTACCTTGGAGCCAAACCTATTATTGACAGCCTAACGGTCGCTGTAATACTGTGTAATACACATTGTAAAATTTTACATAATCTTGATTAATGTGATGAGAGTTTAAAGATGTATACAAAGTGTATATCATTGCATACGTTCCTTCCGTATTTTTGTCATTCCGTAATATTGATCTACACATTGTAACAAATCGCACAGTTGTGCGGAGAGAAGCGCACAACAGGGCGAACGATTGTTAAATTGCACAGCTGTGCGCACCATGTGTGGACGATGTGCGGACGGTGTGTGAACGATGTATGCACGGTGTGCGCACGCTATTCTTGGTGCGTTGTGCGATCACACAACTGTAGGAAAGAAAGTAGACGGGACTGGAAACGAAAACATTCCCAAGTGTTGCTATGAATAGCTGATAAATTCTTGTCTTTTCAATATCTTCTTCGAAAAAGTCACCGAAGAAAAAACCCTCATCTACAGGGAGCCTTAAGTAAGAGAGCTTTATTATACTATATTTGCTTATATGAAGCTTCCAAACTACAATCGCGTTCATTGCATGAATTATGACATCAACAAGACGGTGTGAACAGCAATGGCAAGGAGACAAATCACATGTTCTATGAGCGTTAGCTTTAATTAAGTCAAGTGCAATGTGAATGACTCGTGCTATCTCGGGAGTATGATAGCAATATAATAAGCACCCTATCGTAATCGCATTATCTTAGGGTGCATTTAATTTAGCATGCACTGTTTTCGGTTCAGAAAGTGCGCCTTCTTTGCAGACAAATCAAGCAACGTGCGTTAAATAAATCGATATTATATCTCTGTCGATTTGTTTTCAGAATACATAAATACAAATACACAAATGAAAAAGAAATATTTGAAGAAAGAAAATTATTAGATTAATCTAAAAAAATATTTTTATTGTAATTTTTATCTGTAAGGTGATACTTTTTAACAAACTTTGTTCATATCTTTTCCCCACAATCTTAAAACAAGAAAAATGCAGCAAAGCTGCTGGGCATCAATATTATATATATTATCATAAAATGACTTACTTCTTCGAATAAAGTCGTCCAGAATTGTCCCAAGGCACACAGATGTACAATTAAATGCGCATTTAAATATCAACGATTTGGTAATAACGTCATCTTCTAAGAGACAGAGAGAGAGAGAGAGAGAGAGAGGGAGAGAGAGAGAGAGAGAGAACTCGGTTAATGATTTACATAATCATTTCTGCCTGCCGCGATTTTTACAAATATTTCCTTTGACAATGTACATGTACCTTTGCATACAATATCAACCATCTTCTGCTACTAGATACTCATTTTATACTAGCGAAATATATCCATCGTATTCAACGGGAAACCATTAAATCGTCTATTCACGCCACGCTACTTCATCAGAAAAGCGCAGGAATATGTAGCGTAATTTTTGATGCCAGGTTATAATGACGTCACGCTTGACAACAATACAAAACGCCATTTGAATGGGTTACTTAATGCATTTCTGTCGTTTGCTGCTATTAGCTGGTCGGATTTCCAAACAAACATTATATCAGTTGTGTGGTTATGAAATACATTTACCATAACGTCTGGAACCACAGAACAATCATTCTGCCGTCGCTTCATCTAAACCTGAAACTGAAAATCTACTTTCACGTGACGATGAAAATGTTTGTTAATCTTCACTGTATTAAAGATAAGTTTTTCCTGGACACGGAATTCATGATATCTCACTAGTAAAATGTAATAAATACGGATATCGTATCGGTTTACTTTTATAATTTTGTAGATACTATGCGGCCTCAATTTCCCAGAACCATAGGGAAGCACTGGAATTGGAAAAGTGTTTACATATCAAACCCCAGGGCTTAATTAACTTTACAATATCACCACGATATAATTTGAATTAGATTTTAAAAATTAAATGTCATACGCATGTGACTGCAATTAAATGGGAATTTCTTGATCACAATTAGTATTTCGGCTCTAGTGGACTTCCTTCATTGAAGGCGTTGTTAAGTGTGAAAAACACTCCAATATATTCGACTTAAATTTCACACTACCAATTCTGCTAGAATATTTATATAATAATATGTTTAAAAGATTATTGGTTGTAAATATAATCATAATTTTCTCCTGTATTACTTATCTGTTATGTTAAAGTTTATACTTGGAATATTAAATAACTGCAACAGAACACACATGCTTACACTACAGGCGTGCATCTTGCACACAGGGGAGGCCGTCCTTAAATGACCAAAGCTGTTGATAGGACGCGAAACAATACTACACCACACCAAACCAAACCAAATTGATAAAATACTGTAATGATATTTCTTTTTATAAAAATGCTATGGTGTATACTTCAGGGTGTATAATGTCAAAAAAGGATCAATCACAACAATAAGGACAAACCTCAAATTAAGATAGGGACTACAAAGTATTACGCTTGCGTCCATCAAATAACTAAACTAACCTTAACCGTGTTTTGGTCTCCCAAAACTTTATCGTCATAGAGACTACATATATATGTTGATCAAAATTAAGTAATATACCAAATTCACTTTATATTCGAATTCATGTTTATTTCATCAAATCGAGCATTTGTTTTCACATGCAGATCCCAGTCTTCGATGGCCATAACCACTATGTTGATATACCGGTATTGCTTATGAATTGTGCGTTTCACGTAAGCAACATTTATATAAATACTTTTTATTAATACAGTTTTGGATCAAGTTGAGTCAGTTTACATTAATAAAATCCTTTTTGCATTAAAGAAGTACACATACATGTGTAGGGTCATAATTGGGGAGGAATATATAATACTTCGAAAAAACCGACATGGTAACACAAGTGTCCCAGGTTCCTGTTAACGTCTTTTCGCCGATTCAAACTCCGATCGTTATTCTATTTTGTCCCATGACCACCCCAAAGGCGATACGCATTAAAAGGTTTTCCTCAATAACATTGTCTTTGAGTCTATTCAAATGTAATTCATACACGTATGTCCCCACTCATCAATGTCACCTACCAAACGGTCACTCTCGTCATTCGACAGAATATTTGACCAATACATTTCCAAGATAATTTGTGTGAACAAATTAATGAAAGCAAAGGATGAAATTGGCGGACACTGTATAGCCACAAGGGAAAAAGGGGAAGTATTGTTGTTTTAAAAGCATCATATTTGTAATTGCATTGGTTTGATTTCACTCTTTTATATGATCAATAGTTAAAGGGGTGAAATGTCTATGAAAATATCACTTATTGGTCCGTACATCTTCTACGCCAGCCTATCAATGTCGGCATCAATGCATTTGTTCATGCACAAAGTAAAAGTCAAATACCCAGATTTTATAGACACGCAAATTGCATTAATAATACCGGTGTGTTCATTGTTATTTTACGCTCCTATCCACTTCAAAATTATAAACAAAAAAACAAAAAAAATCTGCATTCGTGTGTTATGATATCTGTCTAAAAGATTTATTTCAGGAATTTTCATCTGAAATATACCACACTTATTTCTACGTCATCGGCAAGAAAGTATATGATTTCATTTCTTTGTATAAGATAGAAGAACTTTTGTACATAAATACGGAATACTGAAATTTGTATTTAGGTTATAACCGAAAAGCTTCGTTCGCAGTCCTTATAATTGTACTTTAAAATAGCAGTTCCGGACGATGACGTTATCACTTTTTATAATAGGAATGATAAACAGCATTTATATAGCGCCCTATATAATTTGTAAAATTACTCTAAGGCGCTTTACAACATATGGATAATAGTAATGGTTTTAATTGTGAAAACAAACAACAAAGGCTTGAAATCACTTTCATACATTTAACAAGCAATGTGCACATAAGTGAACAAAAAAAAGGTGGTATTTACATGACGTCTTTGCAAAGATTCTAAAATGCAGACGTGAAGAGGTGAGTTTGCAGTCTCTCTTGAACTTGGCCAGGGTATTCGACTTCCTAATAGCAGATGGTAAGCTATTCCACAACGTAGCCGAAACCCTCCCAAAGCATCTGTTTCCGTAGGTCACAGTACGAGAGTTTGGGACACACAACAAAGATTCTGACTCCGACCGCAGTGATCTTGACGGCTGATACAGGGTAACAAGTTCCTGTAGGTACTGATGAGCTGTTCCATTCAGTGCCTTGTATGTGTATACCAGAATTTTGTACTGCGACCTGTATCGTACAGGTAACCAGCGAACGAATAAAACGCAGGTGTGATGTGCTCTCTCTTTCGAGTACGAGTAACTAGCCATGCTGCAGTGTTCTGAACCCTCTGCAGACGACTAGTTAGTTGAGTATTTTTAAAAATCTATAATCTAAATAAATAATCTATATTAAGGGAACTGTCATATTTTAATCTATATGACGATGTTTTTAATATAAAACTGACAGAAAAAAATTGATTCATTATCGACATTTAGAAATAATTAATAGAGGTTTAAAAATTGGTTCCCCTTTTATCACGTCATCACTGTTTGGATATTTGCCTAATGATACAATACTATACAATATAACGTAAAACGTCCATGAAGGCGAATTGCAAAATACTATCAGAGTAATTGTTTACTTACTTGTTTCCTGGAGCTGGTATTTTTCTTTACACGGTACTTGCCATTTTCTTTATATTTCCCACCGGGTGTTTTAGAAATGTTGGTGCTGAACAAAATCCGTGCTATTAGGCCATATAGACATGCAGCAATGATAAGAGGCAACACATAAAATGCTATCAGATCCGTCATATAATAAAACAGGTACTGGTTCCTCTTTAGACGATATGTACATTGCACTATACCGGACTTGGGGTGTCTTCTAGTCATCGTCAAACCAAGCCAAGGTGCAGTATACATGAGCGTGAATATCCAAATCCCGGCAGTTATCTTCATGGCCCTTTTCACTGTACACATTCGTTGAGCTTTCATGGGGTGACATATTGCAATGTATCTCTCTACAGTAAATGCCGTCATAGAAAGTGCCGAAGCATCAACTCCTAAGTATTGCAAGAAAATCAGTATCGAACACATAGCCTGACCCCAGGGCCATTCGTTCACCTGGAAAAAAGGTTCAGGCACGGCAGGAAGTGTGGCCGAGAGAAGAACCAAACAGTCTGCCACTGATAAACTCAGAAGGTAACAGTTGGTAGGGGTGTGCATACTCTTGGTCCGACATACTACCAAAACTACAAGAATGTTCCCCACGAAACCAACAATGAATATAATTATCGCTATAGTAACGGATACGGTTTTGAAGAGAAGGGTATAATTGTCACTGCCTGGTTGGAAAGGTAAGCTACTCACGTTAGCCACCCCGAGATGGATTGATGTATTCTCCATAGGTATAAATGTTTCAAAACAACCCGGTTCAAGTGAGGCACATGCGAAATAGTTAACGTCTAGTACCGAGTCGTTGAACTCGAAATATGGCATACCAATAAAATAAATGACACAAACATCCTTTTTCGATTAAGCACTCTATTTATATGACCTGTTTTGGTTAGTCGTATTTAAACAGTAAATGAAGGTGAAATATTATTTTCCAACTGATTAAAAATTAAATACACGGTAAAATAACATTACTTGGAACCACCAGTATTTTCCAACAAAGTAATCTCATCAATTTAATCCTAAATCCTGTCCATTCAAAAGCACACGAAACAAGATAGTTGTGTTTAAAATCAAATTGGTAGTGTCGAAACCTTCATTTAACGACCCAGTGTTCCATCACAATTGGGTACGGGTGCTGCGATCACGTTAGCACAACCGATTGATCCGCCATAAACGTCCTAGTCTAATGCCGTCTCTCTAATACCAGGAACGAGGGAGGTAGCGTTCACGCTATGACGATCATGCCGATAAATTAGGCTTGGCTGTCATGCGAATCACACACGACGACCATTCCGTTGAAAAGACGATTGTCGCGAGTTCTTCACCAACTAGCATAGCCTAGCCTATCGACATTTTATACTCTAAATCAATTAGAAATCTTTTCAGGAACACTTAGGAAGCCTGAACCATGTCTAACGTGTATCGGGGATGAAAGAAACCAAGCAGCCACTCGATATTCCCTGCAATTTACTCGCATGCTTTTGACACAAAAGCACGGTTGACAACGGATTTTGTTCCATGATTTGTAGAACGATAAAACGCAAAAAATCCACAAGAAAGAATTCTTTACCTTAAATGTCATTTATCCATCTATCACATTTAAGACGATTTCTTAACTGGACCTGTTTTGATTTAATATCTTTCTAGTGTACAATATTGAAAGAATGTGTTAAGATCCGTATAGAAAATTGTTTGATTCTACTATCTCGTTTTTTATAGAAACCACAACGGAAAGTAAGAAAGATGGTATTTGATTGTATTAGTAAAGATGAGTTCAGTGTGTAAATCAGTACTCTCAGTCATATAATGAAAGATGTTTTTTCTTTCATTCCTCATGCTCTGTACAAAACCTTTGTGAAGACTCATTTTTTCATGTTGATATATAGAGGGTATTTTGAATGGTTTTCTCGCTGAATAGCATATATATTTTAAGAGCATGGAAGAATGCTGTTTCACGAGTGAAAACATAGGTATGTTCTGTCGTAAGAGAGAAAAATATTTTTGTCTAGTTAGAACTACGCCGCAAGCTGAACATGAAATTAACGTAATATTTGACGTCATATTCTATAGACGTCACACACAAACACACTTGACAAAAAGGCAACGTAGTATTTTAATTGTGCTATTCACCTTCGGAAAATTAAATGATTCTGACGTAGGTTACTGTTTATCCAATATCCAGTTAACAGAAAGCACCATTCAATTGAATTATTTTCTAGTAATGTAGTAATTAATTGGTAATTTCTGATATATTGTACATGAACATATGTGTTAGTTTTTTTTTTTTTTTTTTTTTTTAAAAAAAAATTTTTTNTATGTCATTAAAGATTTTGTTTGGTTCAATTTTGTTCAATGTACGCATACACTACACACATGCAGGCACGTCCTTAAATGACCCTAGCTGTTAATAGGACGTTAAACAAAATTAAACCAAAACAAACTAAAACCTATTAACAGCTAAGGTAATTTAAGAACGTGCCTCAATGTGTGTGTGAAAACAACAGTGTGTGTGTATGTATGTATGCTGGAGGCAGGGTATGTTGGTGTGCATATGTAGGATGGAGAGATTCTTTATTTTCGGCAAAATACAATATTCTATGTTTTTTAACGTGTCCATTTTGTATAACCTCAAACTGTTATATTTCTGATATCAGATGTCGAAAATCCGGAGCTCGATTCCTAGTCAGGACCCGATTTCAAATAACAGGGTCGACGGAGAACCAGATGACGTCCGTTTATTTTCATTTTGAAAACCTTCTCATATATAATATTATTTACGTAAAACATCTGATTTGTAATTTATCTTTTTGTTGGCCTGAAAATACTCAGCTGAAACAAGAATAGTTTTGATTTGTTTTATTTTGTTTTAAGTCGTATTAAGAGCTAATGTCATTAAAGGATGTACCTCCATGTGTGTATGTTTGTGTAATTATTGCCTTCTTGTGATAGCGCCGATATGAGCCACCTTCATAGTGCTATCTCACTTAAATACCATTCCGCCCGGTCACATAATAACGGCAACGTGTGAACCAGTTGTTGCCATTATCCTTAGGGCACGACATATCGCAGCCTCCCAAAATACACACACATACACTACACGCATGCATCTTACACACAGGGGAGGCCGTCCTTAAATGACCTTAGCTGTTAATAGGACGTTAAACGAAATCAAACAAACAAACAAAATTATCCTTAGGGCTCAATGCTTAGCTGGGAATAGTAACTACCCTCGTTTAGGCCTTTGGTATCTCCCGGCCTCGAGAGAGAACCAATTGCAGGGAGAACAAGAAGCATACATAAGAAAAAGAACGAATTTCCTTAGACAATTGCAAATTCAATAAGTGCCTGCAGTTATTTTCTTTTTCAAACAAAATGTAAAAACAGAGAATGCTCATGTGGCTACGATATTGTACATTGATAATTAGAATATTATCGATTTCTCAGCGTTCCTTGGTAAACGAAATAAAAACCAGACCTTGGTTTATATATCCCCTTGCTTGATATGATTGCCGAAAACTGATGGTTTGGACATCAACTGAAAAGAAATATCTCGTTCAGTCTCTTGGGTTTAATACTATTTTTTTTTGTAATCTAACAAGCTATCTTAGACTGCTGCTTCAAACTAAAGCGCTAATCCCCGAACGGGAAACACATCTTTGACTAACATACAGTGATCGACCGCGATACCCTGAACGCTGGCCATTATTTGAACCCTAGTGTACAGGTAGCTGTACGGGTTTTACCTATTAGAACAATGAGAGCCCTACAAGCTCCCAGAAGTAGTCAGCGTTAATTGACAAATTATACCGAATTCATGATCTCTACAACAATTATTTAAACATGCTTTTCAAATAAAGTGAACATTGTTTGAATAATCTCAAGCTCGTGAAATCTGCCAATACTTATGTGAGGAGGTCGTACCTTCTACAGAACGGACGTAAAACCTATCAATCAATATCTCGCTGCGTCCATTGTAAACACTCGTGTCCTTATTGCATCGCATCACTTCACGAGATGTATCTACTTTAATCCATTTAAAACAACCCTTTTTCCGATCCTAACATACCATATTGTGCTCAACAGAGCGAGCACCTCTAGGAACTAGACAATGGAGTCATAATTTGATAATTGGCGATTTTGATATCAGACGGGGTTGTTGTTTTGACAGGTGACCATTTTGTCAAAATACAAAAGAATTCCAATACCTGACCTTGCCATCCATCGCAAATGCATTCAGCCGTAGCATCGTACTACACAGTGATCAATTGCTCTAGTAACAGTTATCGCTTAAAAGAAATCTATTGTCGACAGTAACTTAAATAAAAGCCCTTCATCGGCATCTTCGCAAGATTGGTTTTAAATCGCCAATCATGTTTTACTTTCGCATTTTGAGCCGGTGGCGTCCACAAAGCGAGCCTTGGCGTGAAATGATAAAGAAAAAGAGACGTTATTGAGCTTTTCTACCTGAACATATTATTACAACATCTCTATTGGTTTAAAAAGAAATTTTACCAATATAGTCGCAAGGTCAGACATAAAATATCTTAATCAATCAATAGCAATATATAATATAAAAGTCTACCCCTTCGGGAATCTCAAAGGTGCCTGATTCATATTCGGAACATCTTCGGTTTGAAATTTGGAACGCCTTTAGATTGTTTGATAGATCTATGAAGGAAATCGATATCTGAGCTATCCAAGAGCTTGTAATTAGCGACAGAAGCAAAAACACGAAAACCCTTCACAGTGAACGGCAATAGATGTCAAAATCTGGGACTGAAACCGAAATTAATAGTCCCCGCTTGGGTTCCCCAAGGGGTGACTAAAAACAAATACAAAAAAAACATTTATTCGTGTAAAAAGGACAATTTTCATGCAACCTTGGAATGTAAAAAGCCGCCTTTTTGACTCAAGTGGGTAAGTCTGTGACGTCATCTACTTGTCCTAGGCATGACGTCACAATTGAAAAATATGAAACTTACCACCAATCACAGGGCTGATAGATCATATTACAGAGGTTAATAAGCCGAAACGATGACATGTGTATTCACTGGATAACAGAACATTATGTGATGTATATGGAGAAATATATCATTACCCGTATACCTTATATGACAGGAGCAGGAAGTTATTAAACAAGTTATAGCAGCATTGTAAGTCACTCTTGTTGGCGCGGATGAAAGCGCGGAAATCGTCTTAACGTGGCAGGAAACTGGAGTACCCAGATAACAACCACATTGTCAGGCGGGTGAACCAATATCTGTTTACATCCGCGATAGGGGAGTCGAACCCTGGCCTTCTTAGTGACAGGCGAATGAGCCACCCGGCCACCCGTCCATTCCTATGTAGGCGAGTTATTTTGCTTCGTCTTTTAAGGATGTGTGATTGTGTTCATTTTTGATATAACAAGAAACTGAAAATGTCAATGTTATTATTATGGATATAATATGCATTTTTCAAGCATTGCTTATTAAAGTTAAGCTCATCCGTTAGATTAGCCTATCCACCGAATCACTCCCGACAGATAAGGCGGGACCGAGGACAGCAGTGTAAAATAATTATAATCAATGTGCATTTCTTTTCGTTTGTTGAGGGTTTAGTCTCCTCGCAACAGCTAAGATCA